CCAAAGGGATCGACCACGACGTGCAAGTTACCATGATGACCACCCCCAGCATCTGCAGATAGATATAAGAACCATAGACGGAGGCGGAGGGCACGTACAAAAGCCATCGCGGCCGATGTGCTCCAGAGCACCGGCGCCCATGCGACGCCCATGGCAGCAACTATAGTTCCACCAACGACGGTTGCGCAAACCCCTTCAAGATCGCTCGTCTTGGATACAATGTGATTTTTTCTCGCCTCCGAGCGATATACACTGTCGATCGCCGGCGTGGCTGTCGGCAGGTCTGCAGCATTCTTACTGCATCAGGCATGCAGCGTAGGTTTGGCTCGAAACCACCGACTCTACACAGCACGAAACGAAATTGGCGGCGTCTCGATCGAGTGCACGCATTTGCTTTGGGAAAACTTCTGGGCAATCGTATACATGTAGGTTGTCGGTCGAGTGCGCCGAGCAAAGCGTGCATGCGCCAGTGCCTCTATAACACTGTTCCCAACAAGCTTCCGCGCCATAGCGACACCGACACAAGACGTCGGCGAACGATCAGCTTTGGTCGGTGGTAGCGCTCTCCTCGGCCAATGCTCCTCGGCGGTAGGCGGTGCCGGTGACCCGCTCCCGAGACGGCAATGTGGGCCTTGTAATATCGCACGGGCTGGGAGGATAGGCAACACGAAGAAGGTGTTGGCAGCGAGAGGCAGTTGGCGAGATGCGCCAAGTACCCACTGCAATGTTGCTGCAGCATTGCACACTACCGTAGTACGTTGCGGCAAGTTCTCTGCGCGCACGTTTTATCACGCACAACATGTGTACCGTAGGTGTGGACCAGGTACGTCATCTTGATACGCACCTCCACTGGCAGCTGCAACGTGTGCGGGTCTGTGAGGAAAAACCATGGAGGGTTTTTGCTTCAAGGCGCGTTGGCCGCAAGGCTCTGCCAGCGCCTCGTGCGACCAAGTGCACTACTATCGCGACATCGGCGGCCACGGAGCAAATATCTCGCGCCCGTGCAAGATTCCGATTGCAGTAGCTTTCAATCCTCCCACACATGCTACTCGAAGGTTGACACTGCCCCTTGTACGAGGCAGGATCGCGGGCGTACCGTTGGCTTCGTCATTTGACCTGTCGAGGCGCGATGATAGAGCTGGAGGGGGATATGACCGAAACCTCGTGCGCCAGAGTAGCCAACGAACGACGCAAGCTGAGCCAATCGGTGGGCATGCCGCCGGGGAAACTCTGCATGCTGGTCGCTGATGCGGTGCGCGACGAAGGAATACCGCGACGCAACGGAGGCATCGTGCAGCTGAAAGCAACTAGTCGTCCGAAATGGAATTCGCTTAAAGAGTGCGCATTTAATCAGAACGATTTAAAGTTGGCGGTATTTTTATACCAATCTGTGCGAATTGATAAAGTACAACTGCGCCCCGCGCAGTTGTAGCGATCCTCACTTGCCAACTTGCCTCGAGCCACCCACGCCTACAGCACCATGGCCATCTTTGAGTCGATTCGCTACCTCCCGACGCACGAGCTGCGCAAGTACTTCCACTACCCGCTCAAGGAGGCTGCCGCGCGCTTGCACTCGTACGAAGGCGCCGTGATCCGCCTTTGCCGCCAGCGCGGCTTCCCCAAGTGGCCGTACCGTCAGCTCGCCAAGCTAAGTCGCAAAATGCGCTTCCTCGACAACGTCATCGCCAAGATGGAGGACGGGCCGACGGTCCAGGTCGCGGCTCGCCGCGCGCAGCTCAAGGCCCAGTACAACGCGATCATGTACTGGGACCCGAAAACGTCTCGGACGTCGTTCACAGCGCTCATCAGCACGACCGACAGCGAGAGCGACGACGCCAGCAGCTACGACGACGCGAGCAGCAGCTGCTGCGACAAAGCCACAAAGAGCCACGAGCCGTGCAAGATGGCCATTTCCTTTATCCTGCACCTCTAGTTTTGCATAAGATCTGTCTGTAGTGCGTGCGTGTGTCCAAGTAAGATGACTGTAATCCAACCATGTTTGCGTTGAGCTGCGGCGAGTGTTTCTCACGCTGCTGGTATCGCCCGATGCATGACTTTGTTGGCGATCGATGGCCTCGTCCTCAGGATCTACGCTTATTGGCTCAATAAGCCAACGGCAAAAATCGGGTATTCGGGGATGAAATGCGGCATATTGGAGCTTGGCGGATATCAGGGTACCCGGTTCATTGCGGTAATACAAAGATCGTCGATTTATCCGGCTCCTCGCCCAACACGAGTGGCCGCGACGCCACCTGGTCCCGCGGATCGCGCTCCTGCCTCCGCCTGCATAAATCAAGTCCCTCAACCGAGTACACACAACGGAGAAAGTCCGACAATGTTATTTAGCATAGTTTATCTATTGTAATAGACGGACGACTCACTTCAACAACAACAGTAATACAAAGCAGATGTTGTGAGGCACGAGCGTGCCCTTTCGAAAATACCTTGGTACCAACGACAGCACGGTACCGGTACCGTACTTGTGTCTTATTTTCACTCCATTTATCAACGTCTCTTGTTTGCGTTCGAGCGTGGATTCAAAAACCTGTCGTCGCTTTAGATAACGGATTGACAGAACAACCCTAAAGATGTTCAAACTCTAGGGCTAGGGTCAGAAAATGCAACGCACACTGACTTCGCAGATGCGTTTGCCTGTCGACGACAAACTATATGACTTATCTGCGTCGGGAGCCAGCCACGTGTGTGAACACTGTTTAAGTCGCGCAATTTGGAGATTTTTGGTCGCTGAGGTTTCCATTTTTGGCTGGATTTGGGTGGCGCCATTCCAAGGGCACCTGGTGCCTTAAAGGGCACGGCTTGCTGCGTCGCCCACATGGTCATGGT